CACACCACACACACAGCCCCTGGCCCCTGTCCTGTTGACCTCCCAGCGTCCACCCCTGTCCTCAGGCTGCACCCTGCTGGCTGTCCTGTTCTCTGACCATCCCCCACTGTCCAGTCCCTCCTGGGAGACCTGAGGCTGTCCTGGGCTTCAGCCCCCAGGGCTGGGGTCGCAGTGCGCAGGGTCCTGGACCTCCTGCTCCTGCCTCTGGCATGCTGTTACCCACCCCAACCTCCCCAGCCCGATGTTCGGGGTCCCGTGTGTATCTGTGGGTTTCCCCGAGGCTCAGAGTCCTGCCCCGGCCAGCACAGACGGGGAACAGGGCGAGGGCTGGGTGGTGGCCCAGTGACCTCGGGGGCCAGGCCTGGGGTGTGCAGGTGGGCCCGTGCTGCCGTGCCCCCCACCCACAGACAGGCCCCGACTCTGGCCCAGCACCCGCTCCGAAGAAGGTTAAGTAACGATATTATAGAATAATATTAATAAAAAAAGTTAAAGCTATAAAGTATTTAAAAAAGTAGTTAGGGAAAGCTATAGTATAAAAATCGAGTATACGTAAAGCTAAATAATAGGACGATATTAATAATAAAAATTTATAGATCGAAGTTCGGAGGATATATAAGTATCGCGAAAATTATAAAAAAAATTAAATAATACTTTAATTAATTAAAGATTAAAGACGACGTTAAGGAAGTTATTTAATTATACTATACGTATAAAGAAATAAAGGTTACGAAGTATAAGTTTTATAAATTTCTAGAATTATTATTAATAGTAAAACGATTATAGAGTTTAGTTATAATAAATTTTATTATTAAATTATTAAAGTTTAAAAATATAATAACCGGCGTTAAGTACGATAGTATATTAACGATAATCGATAAGCTTATTAAATAAATATATTTTTTATTATATAAAGAAATTTAATTAGTAAAATAATTAGTAAATATAGTATTACGGTATATTATATTAATATATATATAATTAAAAAAGTTTATTACGGACCGTAATATTAAATTCGTATCGAAGTTTTAAAAAGTATTAATAACGAGGCTAGGGGTAATAAGTAAAGTATTATCGGCCTACTACTTTTAAATAAACGGTTAAACGGAACGGTTTAATTAGATTATAAAATAATATTTACGGAATTATATTAATTTCGAGTATAACGATTAAATTAAATTATTATTTATAATATAATTAATATATAATATATTATTAACCGAGACGATTAAAGTTATACTATTCTTTATAAATTTTAAATATAAGGTAGACTTATAGTAGAGATTTAATGTTAAGGTACTTAAGGTTAGGGTTAAAGAAAATAAATTATATATATTTTATAGTAAACTTAAATAAAAATTAAAGTTTATAAAGGAAAGGATACGGAAATACTATAATATTAAAAAGCTCGAGGGACCTTGCTTTAAGGGAAAAAATATAGTATTCTTTTCTATACGTAATTTACGTATTAAAAGACCTAGTAAAAAACTAAACTATAGGAAAGTAGGCTTATTTAAAGTTAAAAGGAAAATCTTAAAAACGGTATTCGAATTAAAACTATTTAATATAATATATTTATAATTATATATTTTTTATATTTTATTTTTAGAATCCGTATTACCGGTGAATAAGGTTAATATATAAATAGTAACGGAGGATAAAAAAGAAGAGTATAATATAGAAAAGATATTAAATTTACGGTTCAATAGAGGTTAATTAAAGTATTTAATTAATTAATTAAAATATCCGGCTATAAATAATTTATAGGAGTTAAAAATAAATTTTAATTACTTAAATAAATAAAAAGATTTTTACCGGTAATATTTAAACCAATTAAAATTTAAATAAAAATCGAATCCGTACTTTCGATATAACGGTTAACGTACTATACTACTAAATTAATAAGTATAAAGAAATCTAAACTTAATTAATACTATACGTTTTTATTACTGTAAAATAAAAAGGTATTACCGGTTATAAAAAGGGGAGATTTATATTTAAATTTATTGGAAAAATATTTATAAAA